GTCTTCAGGGACCACAGCAACCATGTTTCCTGACGGTGTTGTTATTAACGGCGTCCCATATTCCATCCTGCCCAGCAACGCCGAACAGATTGAAAACGAGAGCGATCTGTACGTGGCAAATGGAACGGCTGAATTGACGTCGGGGTGTTTCAGCGCTGTGACGCGAGTGCGCTGCCCACGCGTTGGTCTGCGAGTTCTTATCGACATTTACGGCAGAGGCGCTGCCTTGTATAATCATATCTGTTGCCATGTCAACAATACACAGATTAAAGCGAGGGAACTGAATATAGATAACGTATTTGTTCAGTTGTTTGTTGATGAAAATTTCCCAGCTGGAGAACTGAAGGAGAACGTGTATCGTCTAGGACTTGAGGACAGGAAAAGCTTTTTTGGTCACTCTGTTTATGACGTGTTGCTTTTGGAAGAAAAACTGTGAAAGTTTCTTGATTTTCGATTGCTCAAGGGAGTTCTTACATAGCCTTTTCCTATTCTCCTACACTAACACGTATTTGGCATTATCTGCTCATCCAAAACACTTTTTTTTTTCAAACGAGATTTTCAGATCTTTCCCTGATTATAAGCAGGCTCAATCACCAGTGTCTTTCATGATAACGTATTTCGAATTTTATTCGACTAATAAATGCACTATTCTAAAATGTGTGTCGTGGCAATTAATCAAGGCACTTGGTACACAAAAAAAATTGCACCTTATGTCTTAAATATTAATAAACATCCTTCGATATTATTTGAAATGATTTTGTTTTTGTTTTTCCAGGCTTACTCTGATCATGTTTAAAATACGGACCATGGATCAACTAGTTTGATCCCAGCCCTTTGCGCCGGGTTTTATGATACAGTTTTTGATATATTTTTTGAAAGTCCGTCATTTATTTATTTTTACTTAGGCGACGTTTCCATTTATTATAACTAAATACGGGATGAAATTTGTAAAAAAATCATTCCACAAAAATTGACTTTCATAAATTATGCACTGTATATAAGAGGCAATATTCAATTTCGTTATACGAGTACAAAGCTTGTTCCCCTTTTTTAATCTGTTCCTAAAACTTCGAATTATAAAAAGTACTCTTGCCTTGAATAGCATTGTTGGTGCCCTGTCATCAGTGAAATATACGTCAACGGCGTCAAGACACGCCTTTACTTTGTGACGTCATGGATGCTACGTATATTGTTATTATATTGCTTTTATTGACTCTTCTAAATTTCTTTCCTAAATGTCTACTTCAAGTTTCCAAGAGAAAATGAGTTATACCGTAGCTATGACGTAACGCCCTTTGGCAGTGAAATGTACATGGAGAACTTCTAGACGCGCCCTCACTTTGTGACGTCACAGTAGCTACGGTACCATAATGCACTTTTCTCGCACAGCGGAAAGGTATTCACTGACTTAGCGCTGCTAAAAATTGTTTTAATTTAGAGGAATACTATGGGATGCACCCAGTCTAGTAAGTATGAAATTGTGTTATCCTTCTACCTCCTGTATGTTAAACGTTATTTTTTTGTTGGTGTATATCTTTCGTAATTTCAGTTTGATTTTGACTTGTAAAAGAATTCACAGTACTGGCAATAAACGCGCCAAGTATTGTAGTTATCACTATTCGGCATTTTCCTCCGAATATTGGATATGTTGTAATAAACATTATTGTTCTTATTACAGCTGTTGTCTCCAACGGCCATCACGGAGCATGGGAGGATTCTAACAATGGTAATAATAAAAAAAATGATTTTGAAGACAACTGCTTTATTAACGATTTTTCAAATCCAAAATAACAGTGACATTAGTTTGCAATTAGGCCCTACTGAAGAATACATACGTAATGATTAATTTCAGATAAGAAGAAGTTGGGACTCCGACAAAGGATAAGAAATTTCTTCAGAGGAGGAGGGAATAAAGGTTACCGTTATTAATTGTCTTTATAAATAAAAGCCTTTCATTAGTATCACGGTATTCTTGTAAACGAAATGTGGAGTAAATATTTATCTCAACCCAAGCAGTCTTCTTTAAGAAAATAATATATTATAAAATATAATATCAGATTTACGTCAGAATATATGTCAAATTACGGATCATCAGACACTAAACTTTCGTCGTTATTGCAGTTGGCCCCAGTCTATCTGAAGAACACGTGGAGGATAGGGATGATCTGTTGGTCATTGGTGTGTCCTTGCAGGTCCAGAGAACCCCTCGGACTCCTGGCGATATCTGGTCATCAGACGGAGAGGTCATTTCTGCCACTTGTTATGTCCATTGAATAAAAAAGGATTTAGTTTAATTTAACCATGGGAGTTTATCTTTAACGATGATCAAGCTATGTGGTTATAGTATTAGGGTTATACTAAAGCTAAATAGAACTTCTGAACGCTGATACATACTGAGTAAATAAGCATCGCATTTTAAACCCATCTGCTTACTATTTTTTTCTTTTCTTTTTTATAAGAAATCTGACAGACCCACGTGATGACTCTGACGAACTGGACATGTCCAAACTGTCTCGTAAGGACCTGAATGACGTAGTGGAGGATTTGATGGAGGAAATCGATGAAGCATAAAATTAACCACAGGTGAGATAAAAGGGACAAGATGCGAATTATTTATGTCATTATGTACATTATGTTGAAATGTTTATGTAAACAACGTGAGGTGTAACTTTAAAAAAAGATCGTGCACAGATGCCCAATGCTTGCGATGTATGAAATATACATGTATACAGCTGATTGATAAATTGATTGAAAAGAAAATACAAAATGTACGTGGCCATTCCGAAGGAAAGTCTAGAAACCACGACCAAAATCCATTTCGATATTTCAATCTCAATCTTTTTTTGAGCCCAGCCAACCTTTTTACGTGTATTATACTTTGTATTTCAGACGAGGGGAATGGGTGTGCATTTCTTCGTCTTAGCTGAAGTTCCATCAAAGCACGAGTCGGAGAACAAGACAACACCCAGTCCAGTGGCGGTGATAGNATTTTAACAAAAAAACAAACTTTTTAGAAAAAAAACAGGGACTAACTTTGAATGTAAAAATGGATTCATTAATAATTGGTAAGTATGGGAAAATTGTTGTTTACTCCAGGAAAATTCATTTTTTGGCCAAAACGAAGAGTTATTATCCCTTTAACAGATTCGCATATAATCGTAGTCAGTTCTTGCAATTCTTGATCAATCGGGAATTCGTGGCATAAATTTTGAACTGTTCAAAATTTTGGTCACGAACTCTCGATTCCAAAAAAATGGTAGTGAATTCTTGACAATATTCGTGCGATTCCAGCTGAATCCGACGAATATTCGTAACACTATTGCACCTGTATCTTAACTGAATCGTAGAGCGTGTCGAATTAGGCCGTAATGGAACACCAATATAACTCGAGTACACCCACGGACACCCCAAGCGTGCAGTATGTGCTATATTCAAAAACTGACAGATTAAAAGTTAAAGATGTATTTATTAGGTTAATTCGAATGAGGTTTGGATGGAGCATTATTTACTATTTAATCTGTAATCTTTAACAAACGTTTTGTGTAATTAATTTTGGAATAAAACGACTAATAAAAATATTGCTTCCTAAATAAATATTGATTTGTCTCAATGAAAGTAAATAATCTAAATAATTTGGGTGGTGTAAAATGATTTACTGAACAGTAGACAAAGAAGTTAACGGAATTATAATGTTCTTCTAAAGTCCTGTCAACTTTTATATAGCGGGTCATTTCTTCTGTATTTCAGGATGGGCCAGCTATATTCTCTGCGTTGGCGCATACCAAAAACAGCAGCAGAGAACAAGACAAAATCTCGGCTAACGGATGAGATGGAACTTTGGATGAAAGGGGTAAATTAGGTGATAAAAGAAGCAGAAAGAGCCTCACATGTAGGCCCTACCAGAGACAGAAAGGCTGACTTGACAACCGCGTGGTACTCGAGTCTAAGAATGATATAACACAATCAAAATTAAAAAAAAAAAAAAAAAAAAAAAAAAAAAAACGGTTCGTGTTACGGTGGCCTTCTTGTGCTGAACCTGAAGTGCCTGTATGTGTCCTAATGATATGGAATTGAACTGGGGCTTATCCGATGGGCGGCTGGATGGATAGGCCTGTTGCAAAAAAGCAATAGGCCAATGGCAAGAGGACTGGTCGCCTCTTTTTTAAACACACATGTAAAATTGTTGTAATTACTATTATATTTCATCTTTTCCTTTGAGTCTAAAATATTTCAATGTTAATTTAAAATGAAATATGAAGAAATAGGTTTGAGACTCATCAAGTGTATCAAATCACCCTGGCTCATCTTTGTTTTCAAGTAATGTAGGCCAACCGGGGTGGTGTTAAATCGTATCCCGACCGTAATTGCTACATAAGCGTTGTATACATGTACGTGTGAAATCATTAGGTAGGCCTACTAGTAGGCCTACTTCAAAAATTAATTTTCCTAAACATCATCAGTCACAAGTCACAGTAAATAAAACTTTGTTCATATCTCACTGATAATGCGAATCAAAAATCCTTAAAAATTATCGGGCATAATGATTGCGTTTCACGAAGGGTGAATTTTACACGGTAAGAGGCCGCTGTCACAAGTCACTGGAAGGGGTGCTTTACGAATCACGCTAAATAATATGAACGTGTCTCGGGAAATATATAAAAAGGTAACGAAAATATACCTAATGGGTCCCTCGTTCGTGTGTGTAGCTTATGCTCCCCCCCCCCCCCAGGACAAGGGCTCTAAATAAGGGGGTGGGGTGGGTGGTGAGCGCAGTTACAATTTTTTTTTAGATGGACATAGATTGACTTGAGATCTAGGCCTTCCCGCGACATAATGCACCAATAATCTACTGATGGACAGAAGTATAGGCCTGCATTTGGCTCTTTGATAGCCCCCTCCCCCCCCCTCCCCTAAGGTTCTTGCGCTTATTTTATTTAAAGTAGGTCAGAAGTGCTTGAAAACGAGGGAAGGGGTCATAAGTGCCCACCTTCCGACGCCTGTATTTGCAAACTTCTGTAACTATTCAATCCAGTGTAAAACGGGTTTTTAACTGATCGATAGGCTCATCTTGTAAGCGCGCCACCTACAGTCTTGTTAATTGCCTATTGAGCCGACTGCTGAAAGGCTGTAAAATGTGAGGTAAAGTTTTTCGTTGAAATATTTGTTCGTGAAAGGATTTACCTGTTATGAGTCTTCTTCACTGTGTGATATTGAGTTGTCATATTCTGGAAAGCTCAATTTCTGTTGACATAAATTTCTTTTGCGTTACTAGCTGTTCACAATAACTTGGGTGTGTGTGTGTGTGTGGAGGGGGGGGGGGGGGGGGTCTAAAATCTTACAGGCAAGTTATCCAATACCAAGTGACTTGCATTTGGCTTAAATTCATGTTGGAATACCACAAAAATTACTGGCGCTGCGGTCCTGTACAAGGTAGAAATGGATAAAAATCGACCGATATAGCCCTCTATAGGTATACCATTGCAAACCTATCTGAGATCGCATTTGGGCTCTTTGTCGTAAAAATAAACTTACTTTTACACCAGATAATGTTCATGAGTGTGATGAATGATGTAGAATAAGAAACACATTCATGAGTCACTAGAATGGGGTTCTTCCTGGATCATGCTAAATGATAAGAACATTTCACACATTTGAGGAGACAGAAAGTGGCTTTTTCTTTCCGTTTAATGAAGATGCGCTTTGAATGGGACCCTCTACTTCTTCTACTACTACTACTGCTACTGGTGCTACTACACTACTACTACCGTATGTCTGAAAAGTAACACTTAATAGCAGGACATGCCATAAAGTTTCTACTATAACCAATTTTTTCATGTTCGACAAAAACTGGTTCAACAATATTTTGGGTACCACCAGTCATTGCCTGTATCCAGCAATTTCAAAATTTCACTTTTTCTGAAAAAGTACACCTACCGTGAAACCTTGGTGTACTAAAATAAAATTTAACCCAGGCGACCCCCCCTGCTACCCCCCTGCTACCCCCCCACCCCCACCCCCGGCTACAGGCCTGACTAGTGCATATATATATTTCCTAAGGTATCATTGCATTAATTGTAGTACTTTTACATGTATGTGCTGTAACCTATGATCCTATCCTTACAGCAATGACAGATGGTTCAGACCAAGAAGAAGAAACCATAGAAGCAAGTTTGAGACCTTTGAGAGGCGGAACTTTATATAGTATTACAGGCTTAATCGTGAGAGGGGGAATCCATCACCACATGTCCCAGCCACTGCTGTCGAGGATGAGCGACAGTGGAATCACGACAGGGACACCAAATCAACACGTGTCCATAGGTGACAGAGCAGGAACATCTGGAGGGCCGTCTAGACTCTCTTCCGCATTGGTTATGACAGGGGGGTTAGGTCAGACTCGTAGAGGTGGTGGCGACACTCAGAGCCCCCTGTTGGGGGATGATAGAACTAATAATGAAGGTGGATTCCATGGTTCAGTTGCTAGAATCTCAGAGAGACAGGCAGAGTTTTTTCGCTGTATGAACGGGATGAGGCAAAGAGAAGAGATGACAGATGTTATTCTGATAGTGGAGGGACATGAGTTTAAAGCGCACAGGGTAGTGCTGGCAGCTTGCAGCAGCTTCTTTCATGCCATGTTCACGTCCAATATGACAGAGGCCCAAACATCGAGGGTCGAGCTGCAGGATATTTATCATGGAACAGTTGAGGCGATAATAGATTTTGCATACACTGCAGATATTCAGTTAAATGATTCCAATGTTCAAGAGCTCCTCTCAGCTGGAAATCGTTACCAGATTCAGCCAATCAAAGACGCATGTTGCCATTACCTAACACAGCAGCTGAGTGCAGCAAACTGCCTTGGGATTAAAGACTTTGCAGATTTTCATAACTGCCCTGAGCTGTGTGAAGCTGCCAGTAACTTTGCATATCTGCATTTTAGGTAAATGTTGTATATGTGTATATGCTGTTTAGATAAAACTGTCAGTCTTTTACTTTCAATACAGTGATTAAGTTAAATGTTTTAATACACTTTTTGTGGATCATTATTTTGGCCCAAACTTTAACTTGGTCTTCATTGATTAACAAAAACTCTTCATAGTTTAAATTCTAGTTCAAATGCATGTAAGTATAGTGAAGAAAAAAATGTAAAAAAATGTCCCAATTTTATTATTTAGGGTTTTTGGTTTTTGTAACAGGCTAGGGCAGTGGTCAGGAAAATGGAATTTGGTATTGTAGCTCATTGCATTATTCACACATTGTGAAATGTCAGTCAGATTTCAATTCCAAATTTTTATTTCAGTTTGAGTAAGTGTTGCTATGATTTTACCTATTTTAAAGTTCCTTGATTATATGCTTTATCTTTATCAAGATTTGTGATGTCTGTACACGTACCAGCCTTGTTGTCTAATTTAGAGCCTCTTTTTCAGAGAGGTATGCCAGGGAGAGGAGTTTCTGAAACAGAGGCCAGAATCTGTGACTGACTTGTTGTCTAAGGATGAATTGACTGTGAAATGCGAAGATGAGGTAAGCTTTTATATTGGACCTGAGGCCAATTTCACCAAAGCCTGCTAAAAGGTGAAAGCCATCAATAAGTCTGTTATGACCTTGGTAAATAAACTGTTTTAAGATTAATTTCATTGGAATTCATTTCATTCAGTGGAAAGATATTAAAGGCCTTATGAAATAAATGCCATAGCCAAATGCAGAAGAAAAGTCATATTAGTCACATGGGCTTAGACAATCTTGCGAGAATGGCAATGAGTATTGACATGCAATTGAAAATTTCGAATTTTTACAAAGATTGTAGGTAAGAGATCACTTGGGTATTAGCTTGTTCTTATGTAAAAGATGTCTGGTTATTGTACCTTATATCAGACTATATTTTTCTGATTTTTCTGTTTCCTCTACCTACAGGTGTATGATGCTGCCATACGCTGGTTAAAGCATGATTTGCCAGCAAGGTTCGAGCATAAGGAGAGCATTCTGGGAAGGATTCGTTTCCCGCTGATAACACGTCACTACTTGACTACTCATGTCCAGCATGAGGGCCTGTTACAAGATAACTGTGACTGCTTGAAGATGATCATTGGTAGGTTGTGTGGAACAGATCTGGCCAAAATATGTATAAATGAAAAAAAAACAAAAAACTCTCAGCTTCAGTTTGACTGACATTATGCAAGAGACCAATGTTAATACTGTAGACTAAAATAGGGACTAATCCATGAGCAATATAAGTACCCTCTTTATATCGTTAAAGTTATTAATTATAATTTTATAAATATTGTATTTTTATTGAATAATGTTTAGATTTATTATTTTATAGGTTAAAAGGCATACAGTGGAAATTGGCCCTTTATACCCCAGTATAGCCCCCCCCCCCCAAAAAAAAAAATATTTTGGCAATTTCCTCTTTTCACCAACATATCCAAAACCACTCACAAAATTTTTTATCATCACTACATGAGTTTAAACCTGCCTGTGGACCCCTTATCTCTGTGTGTTTCAGGAGGAATGCAGTATCACTTACTTGGGGAGGAGGAGAGACGTGCAGCAGAGACGGTCTCCACTGTGACACCACGCAGGAAGAAGTACGACTTCCAGATCGCTTGTTTTGGAGGCTCAGAAACTGGTACTTGTCAGTACTTTAATCCCAAGGGTAAGATATATACAAATTTGAAAATGTTTCCAAAAGAAAGATTCTCTGCTTGAAAGGATTTCCCGCATTGACTTATTGCAAACTGCAATTACTGATAAAACATAGTCACTTTTTTCCATCAACAAACAATGTGAAATGTTACTGTAAGTAACTGTATCTTTGCTAGGCTTTTAAAAATTGCATGGAGTATTTCTTTGAAACTCTTAATCATATTACTACATTTATTTTCTTTCTTTTCAATTCCCTCACACTTTACAGGGGCGGATCCAGAGATATTTTCTGACAGTCTTCCAAATTATTTTTGTTGATCCATCTTCCATTTTTGACCGTCTTCCGACAGAAAAATTCAGATACCCGTCAATGTAAACTTGAAAATCTGACCGTCTTCCGGAAGACCCAGAAGACGGCCTAAATCCGCCCCTGCTTTATATATGGTGATGGCTCAAGTTTCAATATGTGCTCACATAACACTGTCCAGCATGTTTCATATTCACAGGACAGTGTTGGTCCAACTTTCCACCCATGCCCGAAAAAAGGAACGGTCACTCAGCGGTCAACGTGGGCAGTTGTGTGTACATCATTGGTGGATCGTACCATTTCCCCATGACAAGGATACACAGGTACAGCATTGCTACGCAGAGGTGGGATTCTGTTAATGCCAGGTAAGAATGGCTTTACTTACTGTGTTTTTTTGTATATGATTTTGTGTGCCTCTGCATGTTAATATGAGTAAGATGAGCTTTTGCACAGATAAAGTTTTTCACTCAGAAATTTAATTTTATAAATTATAAGTCCACGTATTTTTATCTTTAATTCATCGTATATTTTAAGAAAAAAATGTCTTTACTGAGGAGGGTTCATACTTAAATATGTCATAGAAGAGTTTCGACAGGCAGATATTTTATGTGGTCTTATATAAATGTTTTATTCTGTATTACAACCTTATTTAGATTGCTTTAGAACCCTGTTTCATCATCCCTATAGTTTGTTAACAGTGACATATCCTGAGCTTTTTCTGTCTATTTATTTTCTCTGTGTTTCTCCTCAGACTTGAGGACGGCCGGGAGAACCTTGCAGCCTGTGAGCTGGATGGAAAAGTGTACATCTGTGGAGGGACATCAACACATGGTAGGCTTTTTACTGGCTCTTCAGTTGTATTGTGTTTTTGTATAGCTTCTTCTTTATAGGATTTCATTATTATTATTATTAATATTATTATTATGAAATATGTTTTATACTACCTAAAATTGATTTTATATAAAGGAGCAGGAGATCAGTTGCAATTTGGAAAGGAAGTGATTCAAGGAAAATGTATGTCATAACATCACAGTAACACAGAGCTCTGGCAGTTGCATTTTAACTTGCTCATTTGTATATCTGTCAACACTGGAAATTGTCCGAGGTAGATAGTTTCCTGTACAATAATATTAAAAATTGTTATGAATCAGAATACTGAGAGAGAAGTCTCCAGTATTTGAAATTTTAAAAGAAATTAAGAGAGTTGACAGGTGTGAATACTGGGTATGTGGCATTGTTATTCCTTAAACTTTCATGGAAATATATCGATTGATTGGTTGGTTGATATGTAATCCCCAGGAAGCACTTCTCATAGGACGACAGAGTTATTTGACCCATCAAGAGATCACCTGTCTTTCCTGAAACCTCTGATCCACCCACGCTTTGAACACGGCCTGGTGGTCTGTAAAGGCTTCCTCTACGCCTGTGGGGGCGCCATGAGCAACAACAGGCCCCTTAAACTGTGCGAGAGATTTTCTACAACTTTGAACAAGTAAGTTTGTGTGCATGTTCTTATTTTTTTATTTTTATTTATTTATTTTTTGAGAAACGCATTCTTTAATTTAATCAGTATCTGTCTCAAATATTGCACACCTTTTCATTATTATGAATTCATTACAACAAAAACTACTAAGTTAGATGAAACGGTAATTACTGTTTTCCTACTTCAAAAAAAGATAAGGGTTTTACCGAATAGACAGTTTCTTTGGATTTTAGCTCTATGGCTGTTTTTCCATTAATTATAAATAAACAACAACTGTATGTGTGTGAACAGTACCAGTACATGTCCCCCAAGTTTTTTTTAACCTGCCAGCTTAGTTAAGTTAGCTTTCTGATTATAATGTTGATTACTATGGCCCAGGTGGATAGAGATTCCTCCCATGCACTTTGCCAGGAAAGGTTTGGGGCTGGCAGCAGTGGATGGAAAGATATACGCATTTGGCGGCCAAGATGAATTGAGTAAGTACTTCCCGTTGGTCAGGGTGCAGTGTCACGTGATGAGATGGAAAGTGTTGCATTCATGAAGTGCTTTTTGAAATGGATACTTTAAGACACTTTAATCAATTTTTTTTTTTGCAAGATTGCTCACGAACTCTCTCTCTCTCTCTCTCTCTCTCGCACACTAAAATTGTTTTGAATTTATAACCATTCGCCCCCTGCTCAAACGTCATTACTTTCTTCATTTGAATCTGTGGGGTTTTGTATTTAGATCAAATGAATACCCTAACGTTTATAAATTATTTATCAAAAATATTCAAACCCTTTCAGCTGTGCTTGACACCGTGGAATGCTACGACCCTGTTTACAACTTGTGGACTTTCTGTGCCAAGATGCCCTACCGTCTTTGCCAAGTGAAGTCCGTTGTCATTGGTGGATCCATCTGGATCCTTTCAGGAATGAGAGACTCCAGTCGATTGGGCAATGCTCTGGAATACAAACCAGCCGAGGATCGCTGGGTGTTTCATTACAATACCAGGTCTACCATCATGAATTCTGTTGCTACAGTGACTGTGGACACGTGTGTTGTATAAATATAATTTTTATTTTATTTTTGACTTTGGAAATTGTGATTTAATATAGTTATCAATAACACTTACATCTCAGATGAAAAAATATTGAAGTCGCAGGTTCAAAAGTTAAAACATTTGTTTAAAAACTAAGGACTGGTTTTCCCAAAGTCAGGTTCTTTATGTTTGTAGCATTTCAGTTGCAGCTTCAGTTGTAAATTCTTACAGCAGGAGTGACAGGAATGGTAGGAACCGTAGCCCATTCCCCATTACTTTGTACAAGTGACATGCCTCCCATATACTAACCCCAATACTCTGACTAAACCTAACCTGTACTTGTCACATGGGTCCCCGGACTTCCATTCCTAGGACTACCATTTCTGTCACACCGGCCGAAAGTAACTGATCATTATTGTCACCAATCAGCATATGTAACATCAGTTGGCTACATATATGTACACAGGCACGGCAATAGTTCAATTAACTTTTAAGTTAAAATATTTTAGGTAGAAAATGAAAAAAAGTATGTGCAAACTTCTTATCAACGATATTTATTTTTTATTTTGGAGGTAAACGAATCCTGTTTGATGTAAATACAAATTTGCTCAAGCTGCATCTGAGTCTGTCTGCTGCGAAACATTGCCTTTATTTTGGTATTGGAATAAATATTGTAAAGCAAATGTTTTTTTTTTTTTCAGTTTCACGTCAGCTTCATCAACGCACTAACATTTTATACCCGAGATGTTTTTTTCAATTTGAATTCCAACATTTGGTCTTTTTTCAACCCCAGATTCATTAGCAGTTGTCCTCTTACTCAAATTCTCTTATGTAACAATGGCATCATAAGAAAAAGTAAGGAAGACAGTGAAAAGTCTGCGTCAGTAAGCGCCTTTCAAAAAGTTTCTGAAAAGTTTCAAGCGTATCAGTGTACCATGAAAAATTTACTTTAATAAATAATACTTTTTTTGTGGCAGATTCCTACAAGTTTTTTTTTTAATGTTCCATGGAATGTATTTTTACTTTTGTCCTTCCCAAGCTTTTTTGTATGATATTACTTTTAACAAAAGGTCACCCGACCGATGAGCTCAACTGTGTGCAAAAATTCTCAAAACACAGGAAACTTGAGGAAAGTGTATGTAAAAAGCCAGAAAAGTATCTGTGAATAGCTTATCTAGTGAAAAATCACTGTGGCCCTGGTAGAATGTAGAATAATATCACGGTGTTGGTTTTAACGCCTCAAAAATGGACGTACATCGATTGAAACGAATCCTGCTGCTTTGCGTCCTTGTTTCTTTAATCAGAATAATATTGACGATAATCACGCCGCTGTTTTTGGATTATGGTACAGATGATGCTTCATGACACGGCGTCGGAAATACCGGTATTGGTTGTTGAGGTTGGTCTTGATTTATTTTGATAGTCTCTCTCTCTCTCTCTCTCTCTCTCTCTCATTCTCTCTCTCTCTCAAAATACGTGCATCACAACCTTCTTATGTGACAATATTTATAACGATCCCTTCAATAACATTCGGTATTTCTTAAATAATTAAATATGTGTTTACATTTAAATGTCACTTCTCAAGTGATGTACAATTCTGGGAATTACTGCCACTAGTAGCGCAAATAACAGACAAATTTATTGAATTCCTAGTACTGCGTTTAATTCCCCTTTCTCAAAATAAATTCATCACAGTCTACTCACTTAATATTTATAAAGATCGCGTCGATAACATTCGGTATTCTTAAATAATTCAGTGTTCACCTTTAAATGTCACTAACATGGGTGCTTCATTCTGGGAATCAATGTCACCAGTAGCGCAAAGAATAGAGCAACTGCCGCGTTAAATATGACTGAACTGATGCCGCAAAAATGTTATATAACCGCAGTGCTACTCAAGCCCAGGCGATCATACAGAACAATCAAAGACCTCAATCCTGGGAAAACAACACATATTCCACTTCCGAAAAAGGTATAATCAGGTGTGAGATAACAATTAGTAAATTACCTTAATTGATGTCTAAAAGTTACGTAACATTTTAAATTCACAGTATTGGCACCGTGGGTCATCCGCGGTTGAATCGTTCGTCCATGAATATTTCATATTCTCTCACGCTGCCATCAGTCAGTACAGGAGCGCGCTAATTGTTCCTGGTCACTTAACTGGCCGAGTGACATGTCCAGCGAGTTCATTACTTTAACAGATCTTGCGGGAGAGGACTTGCAGCGACCCTGTGCCTGGAAGGACCGTCATTGATACTGTTACAGTCAGTAAGTGAGCACCTTTTTTTTTTTTTTAAATTCTTGTTCGTTTTTTGTTTCTTCGGTAAACGTATTTTAGCATGTTCTTAATATTTTTTCAAAGCCACATTATTCGGTAAATACTCTTTTGTTAGCTTTTTTTTCTTTAATGTTAAAACATTTTTCTAACGTTTTTCTTCCTATTGGTATTTTCATCGGCATATCTTATTGATAGTGCGACTCGTTTGCTATACGTGCATGTGTGTTTGCTGGTCCATTAGTGGGCGAGAACTATATTTCTGTTCGGCGTACGGCATAGGTAGGCTTTCCTCAAATATTTACCTATATCTGTTCTCCCTTATCTCCGCAACACGTTCTCGTTTTCACAAACATTACGTCCTTCCGGATCTCAATCTAAGAAACAATCACTATACAAACAATTCTCTTAAATTTCAGATNATTGTGTGCCTTTGGATGCTAATATATGTAACAAGAGCTTTTGATGTGCACAGATAAAATTTATCATCCAGAAATATGATTTTATGAATTATAAGTCCATGATTTTTACTTTAACTTTTTTTCCTTAAAATAAAAGATAAATTTATCTTTATTGAAGAGGGTTTATATGGAAGTATGTCATAGAAGCGTTTTGATATTTAATGTAGTATTATAAAGATATTTTTCTGTATCACAAACTTATTTAGATTACTTTTGAATTATGTTTCATCATGTCCATACATGTAGTTTGTTAACAGTGACATGTCTGCGCATTTGATAGTTTTTTTTCCGTTTATTAATTTTCCCTTGTGTTTCTCCTCAGACTTGAGGATGGCCGGGAGAACCTAGCAGCCTGTGAGCTGGATGGGAAGGTGTACATCTGTGGAGGAACATCAACACATGGTAGTGCTTTTTACTGCCTCTTAAATTGTATTGAGCCCATATCTAGCTTCTTCTTTATAGGATTTCATTATTATTACTATAAGAGAATATGTTTTATACCTTCAGTTGATTTTAGATGTAGAAGTAGGAGATCAATTGGAAAGGAAGTGATTCAAGGAAGTGCATGTCATAACATCACAGTAACACAGAGCTCGGTGGCATTTTTTCTTGTTAATGCAGATACCTGTCAACACTGGAATTGTCAGAGTCAGATATTTTCCTGAACGATACTATCAGTAATTTTTCTGAATCAGAAGTCTGGAAGAGAAGTCTCCCATCTGGGAGATTCCCAAAGAAATCAATAATGTTGAAAGGTCTGAACATGTGGCCTAGTTAGCTAGTATGAAAAATTATTCCTTAAACTTTCGTGTAAAATTGATTGATTGGTATTTACTCCCCAGGAAGCACTTCTCACAGGACCACAGAATTATTTGACCCTTCAAGAGATCACCTGTCTTTCCTAAAACCTCTGATCCACCCGCGCTTTGAGCACGGTCTGGTGGTCTGTAAGGGCTTCCTCTACGCCTGTGGGGGCGCTATGAGCAACAACAGGCCCCTTAAACTGTGCGAGAGATTTTCTACTACTTTGAACAAGTAAGTTTGTGTTTACATTTTTATTTATTTATTTATTTTTTGACAAATGCACTCTTTTATTTAATAAGTATGTGTCTCACGTTTTGAACATCTTTTCATTATTCAGCATTCATTACAACAAGAAGAACTAGTTAGATGAAACGTTAATTACTATTTTCCAACTTTAAAAAAGATCAAGGTTTCACTTATAAACAGCTTTTTTTGGTTTTTACTTGCATGTTTACCCCCGTATTTGAACTTAGCATATACTTAATATCCAGGAATCAATAAATAAAAACTACAGAAGACTATTTCGGTTAATTAGTCCCTAACTAACGTTGAAATTAACTTAAACATTCTTGAATGCAAATCGAAACTGTGGGAAGCAAAAATGTTTTACGATAATGTAGCCAGAAAATAGAAGAATTTTCGTCGCTGTTGCAAAATTTGTAGGGAAAAGGCCACGCCAGTGTTTTAACTTAGGGTAGGCCCCTTGTCCATAATTTCAGTAAATATCAGTGATATTATCTAAGGTGCTCTACTAGTGGAGATATAAGGCTATTGACAGGGTGGGTATCTGCGGCAGTCATCAAGTGACCTCAAATAACCTCAGTAGTTTGTAACCATAGCAACGGATTTATGATATAAATTTCTGTCCTTATAAAGATTATATATCCATCTTTCAATTTTGGTATTGACCGAAGTAATGTATTGATCACTTGATGCACATTTGTGAAGCTAACTTCGGTGAAAAATACACCACTCACACAGCTGAAAAGTGAGGCGGGAGGCACGCGAGGCAGTGGAATATGCATGTAGCTGTATCTCGACAATAACGCAACGGAAAGCTTTAATATTTTACAGTTTAATTAAGGTCACAAAGGTGATTAACTGTGGGCAAAATGAGTGTATTCTGTGAGAACCCCACCTTGCCGCTTTTTGGCTGATTTGCCTGGTGGTTAGAAAAACTTGCACTTAAGACTATTTTTTCCATTCATACATAAACAACAGCTACATACATGTGCATGAACAGTAATACCCCCTTTACACTGGACGGCGTCCTTTCTGCGTCCTTTCTGCGACCATGAAATTTGGCATCGCTGTGGTCTTAATAAGGAGGCACGAGCATTGATTTGGTATCAGAATGAATGCTCAATGATCGGCCAGTTGTCGGCACGTAAAGTATTATAATTCTTTAACTCTCAAATGGGGCCGAACTGCTGGACGCAGAAGGGACGCCGTCCAGTGTAAAGGGGGCTTAAGAGTACAGCATGTATGTCCCCCAGGTTTGTTTTAACCTGTTTGAAAAGTGAGCCTTCTGATGATAACCTTGTTTTCTATGGCCCAGGTGGATAGAGATTCCTCCCATGCACTTTGCCAGGAAAGGTTTGGGGCTGGCAGCAGTGGATGGAAAGATATACGCATTTGGCGGCCAAGATGAATTGAGTAAGTAGCTCTGATTGGTCAGGGTGCAGTGTCACGTGATGATATGGAAGCTGTTGCGTTCATGTAGTGCTGTTTAAGATGGACGCTTTAAAACGCTTTTATCAAAGTTTTTGCGAAATTTCTCTTTCTCTTTCTCTCTCTCGCTTACACTAAAATTGTTTTGAATACATAACCATTTGCCATCTACTCAAACGTCATTACTTTCTTCATTTGAATCTGTGGGGTTTTATATTTGATCAAATGAATACCCTAACGTTTATCAATTATTTATCAAAAATATTCAAACCCTTTCAGCTGTGCTTGACACCGTGGAATGCTACGACCCTGTTTACAACTTGTGGACTTTCTGTGCCAAGATGCCATACCGTCTTTGCCAAGTGAAGTCCGTTGTCATTGGTGGATCTATCTGGATCCTTTCAGGAATGAGAGACTCCAGTCGATTGGGCAATGCTCTGGAATACAAACCAGCCGAGGATCGCTGGGTGTTTCATTACAATACCAGATCTACCATCATGAATTCTGTTGCTACAGTGACTGTGGACACGTGTGTTGTATAATTTTTTTTTATTGATTTTGGAAATTATGAATTAATGAAGTTATAAATAACACTTACATCTCAGATGAAAAAATATTGAAGTTGCAGAGTTAAAACAAAGTTAAAACATTTGTTGAAAAACAGGGACTGGTTTTCCCAAAGTTAGGTTCTTTATGTTTGTAGCATTTCAGTTGCAGCTTCAGTTGTAAATTCTTACAACAGGAGTGATAGAAATGGTAGGAACCGTAGCCCATTCCCCATTACAGGTGACATTTGTCCCATGCACTAAGCCCAATACTCCGACTGACCCTACCTGTACTAATCACATGGGACCCCAGACATCCATTCCTAGGACTACCATTCCTGTCACACCGGCCTGAAGTAACCGATCATTATTGCCACCAATCAGCATGTGTCACATCAGTGGGCTAGATATATATATGTACACAGGCACGGCAATAGATCAATTAACTTTAAGTTGAAAATATTTTAAGTAGAAAATGAAAAAAAGTATGTGCAAACTTCTCATCAACGATATTTATTTTTATTTTTATTTTGGAGGTAAACGAATCCTGTTTGATGTAAATATAAATTTGCTAAAGCTGCCTCTGAGTCTGTCTGCTGCGAAACATTGCCTTTATTTTGGTATTGGAATAAATATTGTAAAGCAAATGTTTTTTTTTTTTTTTCAGTTTCACGTCAGCTTCATCAACGCACTAACATTTTATACCCAAGATGTTTTTTTCAATTTGAATTCCAACATTTGGTCTTTTTTCAACCCCAGATTCATTAGCAGTTGTCCTCTTACTCAAATTCTCTTATGTAACAATGGCATCATAAGAAAAAGTAAGGAAGACAGTGAAAAGTCTGCGTCAGTAAGCGCCTTTCAAAAAGTTTCTGAAAAGTTTCAAGCGTATCAGTGTACCATGAAAAATTTACTTTAATAAATAATACTTTTTTTGTGGCAGATTCCTACAAGTTTTTTTTTTAAATGTTCCATGGAATGTATTTTTACTTTTGTCCTTCCCAAGCTTTTTTGTATGATATTACTTTTAACAAAAGGTCACCCGACCGATGAGCTCAACTGTGTGCAAAAATTCTCAAAACACAGGAAACTTGAGGAAAGTATCTGTGAATAGCTTATCTAGTGAAAAATCACTGTGGCCCTGGTAGAATGTAGAATAATATCACGGTGTTGGTTTTAACGCCTCAAAAATGGACGTACATCGATTGAAACGAGTCCTGCTGCTTTGCGTCCTTGTTTCTTTAATCAGAATAATATTGACGATAATCACGCCGCTGTTTTTGGATTATGGTACAGATGATGCTTCATGACACGGCGTCGGAAATACCGGTATTGGTTGCTGAGGTTGGTCTTGATTTATTTTGATAGTCTCTCTCTCTCTCTCTCTCTCTCTCTCTCTCTCTCTCATTCTCTCTCTCTCTCAAAATACGTGCATCACAACCTTCTTATGTGACAATATTTATAACGATCCCTTCAATAACATTCGGTATTTCTTAAATAATTAAATATGTGTTTACATTTAAATGTCACTTCTCAAGTGATGTACAATTCTGGGAATTACTGCCACTAGTAGCGCAAATAACAGACATATTTATTTAATTCCTAGTACTGCGTTTAATTCCCCTTTCTCAAAATAAATTCATCACAGTCTACTCACTTAATATAAATTATAATTATATAATAAATTCATCACAGTCTACTCACTTAATATTTATAAAGATCGCGTCAATAACATTCGGTATTCTTAAATAATTCATTGTTCGCCTTTAAATGTCACTTATGGGTGTTTGATTCTGGGAATCGATGTCACCAGTAGCGCAAAGAATAGCGCAACTGCCGCGTTAAATATGACTGAAGTGATGCGGAAAAAATGTTATATAACCGCAGTGCTACTCGAGCCCAGGCGATCATACAGAACAATCAAAGACCTCAATCCTGGGAAAACAACACATATTCCACTTCCGAAAGGTCCAATCAGGTGTGAGATAACAATTAGTAAATTACCTTAATTGGTGTCTAAAAGTTACGTAACATTTTAAATTCACAGTATTGGCACCGTGGGTCATCCGCGGTTGAATCGTTCGTCCATGAATATTTCATATTCTCTCACGCTGCCATCAGTCAGTACAGGAGCGCGCTAATTGTTCCTGGTCACTTAACTGGCCGAGTGACATGTCCAGCGAGTTCATTACTTTAACAGATCTTGCGGGAGAGGACTTGCAGCGACACTGTGCCTGGAAGGACCGTCATTGATACTGTTACAGTCAGTAAGTGAGCACCTTTTTTTTTTTTTTTTTTTAATTCTTGTTCGTTTTTTGTTTCTTCGGTGAACGTATTTTAGCATGTTCTTAATATTTTTTCAAAGCCACATTATTCGGTAAATACTCTTTTGTTAGCTTTTTTTTCTTTAATGTTAAAACATTTTTCTAACGTTTTTCTTCCTATTGGTATTTTCATCGGCATATCTTATTGATAGTGCGACTCGTTTGCTATACGTGCATGTGTGTTTGCTGGTCCATTAGTGGGCGAGAACTATATTTCTGTTCGGCGTACGGCATAGGTAGGCTTTCCTCAAATATTTACCTATATCTGTTCTCCGCAACACGTTCTCGTTTTCACAAACATTACGTCCTTCCGGATCTCAATCTAAGAAACAATCACTATACAAACAATTCTCTTAAATTTCAGAACATATACCATGAGTTGCTGCTGTGCGCCAAAGGCGCCAGAAAACGACGACCGCGAGGACGACGACGCTACGTTCGGCCACTTCGCCTCGTCCACCTCAGCCCACGGTTTCGCACGGGTGGTCGGCAGTCGTTACCTGATTTTCAAGATTTTCTGGGCCTTGTTAATCCTTGCCGGGTTTTCTATAGCCAGCATCAATATTCGAGACCGCTTTTTGTCTTTTCTCAGACACGACACTACCACCAAGATGAGCATGATTTTCCCGAAAAAGCTGCAATTTCCAGCGGTTACTATTTGTAATGCGAACAAGTTAGTACATTTAAATTTCCTTACCCATCATATATTATTTCAAAGATTAAAATCATCTAGATCTCGCTAGACCTTAAAAAAAAACATTTGTATTGATTTTTTCTTTTTGATGTAAGCAATCCCCCTTTGCTTTTTAAACCGGTATCTCACCCAAAACTAATATATAGTTTTAAAATATTGATTTTCCCCAATAGTGTTATGTGGAATATTCAAACAAAATTGACATGAGATATACGACTGAATAAGTGACAATAGATGACCTAGGCGCAAACCTCTCGATTAATCAAAAAAGAGAGTCGTGGCGTTTCAGCCGAAGGGTATAATGGGCTAGATATGAGTTCCATTGTAATATTGTAATTCATCCAATGTATACTGGGTGGGTAAAGATGGCGTCCTGGTGAATATCACATGCGCGCATGCGACCTTGTACAATATAAACACTGACTGTGACATTCAGACGAACTTTGTCTGAAACAATCAAGCAACAGCCTCGTTCCACACAAATTAAGCCTTATACTATTTTGCCACAGGTACAACCAAAAGCTGCTAACCGAAAACGACGAAAAATTCCTGAATTCTACAGCAAGCATTCTATTCAGCCTTGAGTACGGAGATGACTATGGCGATGATTATGACTATGCAGAATACGGCGACGAAGACTATAGTGACGACAGTTACCCGTACAGTGATCAGATATATGCAGACGGCGCCAGAACCCTGGAACAGGAGCTGAATGCCTTGATGGCCGACATAAACCAGTGGTACCCCGATGGTTTCGACATGGAGAAGTTTACAAAAGAGAAAGGGTGGACTTTAAATGATGAAAATCTGGTGTGTTCCTTCAGAGGATTTCCGTGTAATGCGTCAGAGGTCAGTAGAATTAGTTACTTACCATATTCACAAGGTGCAATGTATACCTTTTCATCTTTGCTTGGACACAAAGAAAGTGTTGAGCCGTTGTCATTCGGGGCGTTTTGATTCACTTGTTTCTAATTTATGTCATGATTCATCTTTTGTATATTAAGATAGAGATTGACGAATTACACTTCTTGCGACAGAAATAGAATGTTAGAACAGGAAAGCAGAGTTAGCACATGCACTTACCCGGTACATTGTGCGATTCACGCAGTCAATGGCATTTGCATCAAAGGTCATGTGATTTTACGATTGGACCTATATTTAATTTGGACGCGGTTTTCGTCGAAATGTAACATTTGTTTAAATAAAAGTGACTCTGCTTTTTATGTTCACGAAGATCTCTGTGACATTTTGCCAATACATGGGATCGTTCATTGGACCACATCGTTTTATACTCCCGTGCTTTTGGACTAAAGGACACGTACCTGTAATGACCAGTTTAACGGTTTATTTGATGACGTTCGCTAACTACATGATGTACGTGAGGCATTTAGCATCATTTCAAATAATAATAATAATAATAATAATAATAATACTCACAAATATAACACAATGTGGGCGTCATTGACAACAACTTAAATGACAACATTTTCTAGATGGACCCATGGCATACGTGGGTTCCTTTGGGGGAGGAAGTAATCACGGTACACGGGAAATAAAATAACAAATCGTAGTAAAATAACTTTATCGAATCATTTAGCATAATGACCTCAGCTCACAAAGGACGAGGAATAAAAAGCCGCATTCACGAATCATTGGAAAGGGGTGCTTTACGGATCACGCTTAATAATAATAATACTACTTTATTTGCTAGAATCGCAACCCAATGGTTGAAGTTTTACAATTTATCATAAACAAAATTATACAGGTATTTAAAAGTAACTAAAATATAAACTAAAAGACCAAAGCTTTAAAACAGGACTTATAAGACAATTTGGAGCAGTATTTTACATGAAATTTAAAAGACTGTGCATTATAAAGGATGATATAAACGCTCCGTTTTCGCTCTTGGTATTAAAAATTTGTTGCTGACCCTGAGATTTCTTTTATTTTTTATTTTTTATTTATTTTTTGAGAAACGCATTCTTTAATTGTACCAGCTACTTATTAAAATTCTTGATTTTTGTTAAATAGTTCTTAAATAAAACGTCTCTTCTCTCCCTCAGAGAGGTGAGATTACTAGCCTGTAGGGCATCCTTGTAAGTATAAAATGGGTAAATAATTCTAAGAGCTCTCCTTTGAACAGATTCTAAGCATTCACTTTGTTCGGCTGTAAGACCATGCGTATTCTAGGACTGATCTAATTATTGATTGATATATAACTATTAGATCCTCAGTGGCCAGATTTGCCTTTTTCAACTGCCTGAGATAAAAAAGCTTGGCACAAGACTTGGAATAAATTAACTGCACAATAATATTAACAATATTAACATCGGGAAATAAAGGTGACCTTCACGGAAACGAAAACAAATACCAAAGTGGACTCTTATACTTAGAGAACGCTTGAAAAGCAACTCATTTTTTACTTGTTTTTTTTTCTCTATTAAGGATTTCACCCACGTGTTCACCCAGTTTGGCAACTGTTACACATTCAACGGTGACGGTGCACTGTACAGATATCAGGACCAGGCCGGCGCCGGCCGCGGTCTCACCTTGGGTATAGACATCGAACAGGTAAGGGTCAGATCTTCTATTAATTAATTAATTTATTTATTATTTTGATTTTCAGGCCTCTAAACCTCAACCTCTAGATTATGAATATTTCCCTTATAAAAATAACATGACAGTACCTTGGACCCAGCTGTGACAATATTTCATCTTTTGAACTCGCGACAGAAATCAATTCTCATGTATATTTTATGTGTGTAATAGATGAACGGACTACCATTAATTTATTTAGTCGGTATAATCCTCAATACATCATTAGCGTGTTTGGGCTACTTCAGGCAGGCAGTCCTAGGCAGTAGTTACAGCGGGTCTCGTCTTCCAGGGCCATAGGTTGATTTTTCACTATATATTCACGGGTGTGTTTCTGAAAAACTCAGTACAAAAGAGAATCGTGTGATTAATTAGCAAGAGCCCTTCAAACAGTAGGGGCACTTACCAACCGGTATCTCTCGTGAAATAGGGAAAGATTATTACTAAATAGTACTGATTTTGGTTAAAAGGACCATGAATCAAAGGATGTGTGGGGCATAATAAATATGTATTTGGAAATTTGAAGGCGAAGAAAGAATCTGAACCTCAGGCTAGCGAAAGGTAGCAGTTTTCTGATGGCATTTCACATCCATACAGTTGTAAAAAATAATGTTACAGTACATTTAATATTTTCCAAATCTATAGGGTTGCCAAATGGTGTAATGTGCACTGCAGCCCAATCAGATAAAATTAATAATTGATAAATATAAGGATATCGATGGATATTAAATAACAAGTTAATGTTCCATTATACAAATAAGAAATTTTTAATTCAAGTTCACTTTGTTTACAAACGGATTTCCACTTCCGGATAAAATATCTAAAGTGCTCTTTCCTGAGATTGCTTTATTACATCAGACAATTCGTTAGTTACATCAAAGTGCCAAATAGATAAAGCGTATTCTAGGACTGGCGTAATGACTGTCTATTATAAATATAACTGAAATCCGTACATTTAATTAACATTGTGCTACTTTTTGTCTACTTCTCATCCAGGATTCCTACTCTAACAAGTTGTCCCGTGGCGACCGCATGGATGCCGGGATATTCTTCCAAGTTCACAGCCAGTTTGAACCGCCATCAGTGGAGGCGTATGGACGCGCCGTACCCCCGGGATTCCACGCCTATGCCGGCCTTATCAGGAAAGATGTGGGTAGCCTCTTCAGTCTTATTACACAGTATTCCGTTTCAACTGATGCTCACGAATAGAAATTGCGAAAGCTGTTCCAGTTAAACCCTGTTTTGATATTACAAAGTAGGTTTAGGTATTAAGTGCGCTTTGATGAAATTCAACTAGGTAAAAAAATGTTTTAACTGCTTCAGTGGTTTTACTTTGGTTTTGCTTTGTGATGAAATTTTGTACATCGCAACGGCTTAGGTACTTCTGTATAAATTGATTCTCCTGTTATCTTAATGCCAACAAGCCCTCGTCTCCCCTACACTCATCTGGGTAAAGAAAAATGCTCAAAGAAGCGCGTTTATGTTATCTAAACTGTATGTATAATAGGCTGTGTTTTTTTTTTCGTGTGAATAAACCGCAAGCTTAGTTACAGTATCTTTTCGAATTATCATATGTGAATAGGTTTCAACATTCGCGAATGATAGGTTCTTCTTTAATTACATGCAGTGCAAAAAACGCAGAAAACAAACAATATTGTAAAACACAGACCACTTATTTGGATTGAATTGAAAAAAAAAATGATGTAAGGATTTCAGGCAAATAAATTACATATGCAATATACAGTAATTCTCTAAGAGGGCCGCTGAGTTAAAAGCTTTTAAAAGTACAAAATGGTTAAATTAGTTTCAGATTATGCAGTAGGGAGTAAAGGAAAGGATACAGCTAACGGACGAAAGCTACAGAAATATCGTTAACGGTACCCTGAAAATCTTAAAACCTAGAGTTACTTGCTAAGAATTAAAATGATATAAAGTGTCGCACGTGGCAGATATTTGACACACTCTGGAGATAAAAACATGCATAATGAGTGGAAGTAAAGATGCCATTCAGTCTTCATAAACCTACTTCTGTTGCGTACTTCCAGTCGTCGACCATGGAGCCTCCGTATGGAGACTGCAATGCCTCCTCCACGTTAGACTACCACGCTGTGTACACCATGTCTGGCTGCGTGGCCGAGTGTAAGCTGGGTCACATGATGGACAGATGTGGATGTAAACTGATGCATTTGCCAGGTATATAGAAATAGCCCGTGTGTGTGTGTGTGCGTGTGTGTGTGTGTGTGTGTGTGTGTGTGAGAGAGAGAGAGAGAGAGAGAGAGAGAGAGTACCTTGAAAAACACTTTTAGCTATATTAGAAATTCCCTTGTTTTTTTTTTTTCGTAGGTCCAGGAGCCACGTGCTCTCCGGAGATTATGTTGTCATGCATCCGGCCACTCATGGGTAAGAACGTGTGATATCACAAATGTCAATGTACAACATTTTTCAGTATCTGTAGGGTCTTTAGCTTAAGCTTTGTATTAACAAGACCATGTGTTAAGTATTTTTCTTTGTGATTAATGACTCAGTGTAAATAAAAACGAGAGCCATTTTTTGTCAAGCTTATGTTCGCGCCAATGATGTTATCTTATTGATTTTTTTCCAGGGGAAATCAAGCGATCGTTTTCCAAAATGTGCGAATGCGAGGTGCCGTGCTCCAGCGTTTTATTTGAAACCTCATTGTCCTACGCTGCCATTCCCAGTGAAAGCACAAAGGCAGAATTAGCCTTAGAACTTGGCACAACAGTAGAAAATGCCAGGTATGGGAAGTGACTTGCGTGGGATTGTGCGACAAATATAGTGACGTGTACGAAAATGTGCTTAAAAACCGATGGCGTGTACGAAAATGTGCTTAAAAGTAGAAGCGTGCATCAGGTGAAGTTAATGTATGAAAAGGCGGGTGTTTTATAATGTCACAACTTTTAATTAGATAACAATTACTCCTTTAACCAAGGAGAAGCAAATTAATTTAGCAGTGAGTCTTTGAAAGGTTTTATTAGCTGCATGTTATTTTAATTCGAAACTTTTACCTGCGAAAGTAATAGTGAATTTCTGTTGTAGAGGAGGATGGTAGATTTATTCTCCCAATGCCTTAACATAGGGGAGACCGGGGCTAGTTGGACCCCGGGGTAAGTTGGCCCCCCATCAATTTATGACAAAGTAACTATGGGGTAAAAGAATTGATCACATCATTTTGTAAAGTGACCGTATCCAATAGTGCCAAGAAAGCGTCGGCAGTGAGTCCAAATGAAATAATTTAGCATCTTAAAGTAACTATTTTAAAGAGACGTGATGGGGGGCCAACTTACCCCGGGGTCCAACTAGCCCTGGTCTCCCCTACATTCCAAAATCTTTAATTTTTACTTCTTAAACTTAAATTTCAGGAAGAACTACGTCATCATTGACGTATATTTCGAAAGTTTGAACTACGTGGAAAGTGTTCAAATGCAGGCTGTAGAAGTAACGGGGATCATCAGTAAGTCCTTCACATTAATTGGTAAAATTAAAACGATATAAAGCATCACTTGGTAAATTTGACTCACCACGGTAAAGGTGAAAAGTTACATCGAACATTAAAACGGATTTACAGGTAGGCATTTTCCTGAACGTGCTTACCTCAAAATTCTGTACCTTTTTACGTTTATTTATTAAATTTTCTAGTTTATCTATTTATTCATTCATAGGATAATTGGTTGCTTTTACATTTGTTCAGTTAATTTTCTAGTTCATTTATTTATTTATTTATTTATTTATTGATTGATTGATTGATTGAGGTTGTGTACAAGACCCCCCTCCCAACACTGATTTCCCTGTCGTCTGGGATATTACTTTCACCACTTTCAGGTGACATCGGTGGTCAGTTTGGGCTGTTTATGGGCTTCAGTCTTCTCACGATTGTGGAGTTCCTGGAGTTTGGAGTACTTCGCATTATCTCTCTTCTGTCAAAAAAACCGAACAAGAAGGTGGATGTCCAAAAAATCAACACGAACAAAAATCCGTGATCTCTAATGGGACAGCAACAAATGAATGCCATTTGATACAAACTGTACAGTTTTATGTTTAATATAATAAATGTAAGAAGACTTAAGAAAATTTAATTGTTAGATAAGCTAAATTATACCTTTTAAAGGATCGCCGGTACATGCACGCCATTCATGGATTTTTGTTAGTATGGACGCTTGTGTTTCATTGTCCTTTTTTGTGTTGAAATGAAATCGGGAACGTGATCGAGTCGGACCAAGAACTTCTGAGTCAGACATAACAGACCCCGTTATAACTTAACGTAAGAGTTACACCGCAGAATGTGTTTTGAAACCCAGTTTAAAACACGCATATCAATGCAAAAGATTAATGAATCTCATAAGTCGGTACTCTCAATATAGAGGCACGTTATATCCGGGACAATAGTCAATAGATGCCCATCTTCAAGTATATTTGTCGTTATTTGTCGTTAGGCCTATTCCCCCACCTCTAGATGATTGAAGACACGCGGTAGTGATCTGTTGATTTCGCTGAGTTAAAATCGTACGCTTTGTCACTGAACTTGTATTTAAAGCACAATAAATTGATATCTATTTTTATATACAGTGTTTCTTGTAAAGCACGTTAAGGTTCAAACTTGTATGTATATGTGATAAATGAATAAAGGTGTCCATTTAGATAAACACTCCTGTAGTTTAATACTTGTACCTACTGTTTGTGCATCAGTGTGACGGATAAATCGATAAATATAATATAATAAATATTAATTTAGCTAATTACGTTTACAGCAGAAATTGGCTTCTGTTGGAGCTGTTAAAACTGTAATATTAGAACATCAAACAGTAAGAGGTGAACCTATAGTCTACTATCAATTTCATTGCACTCGGCTTTTGTTTATACAAGTATATCAAAGAGATGGATTTACTGAACAATGGTCTTGTTGTCATTTTCTACAGTAACAATACTTGTCTGCGGCTGTCCATTGTACAGCAACAGTAGCTGTCGTAGATGACAGATAACAGCGCATACTAGTGGGTTCTCTGGGGAGACAGAAGTCGGCCTGTGGTTTCACCCACCGACGTTTCACATATTTCACTCCCTGGAACTGTCTAAATAATAACATTTTAAATGACTTGACGAGCTCTGGTAGAAATCCATGATTAATTTTTATATACAGAGCATCGCACTCAGATGTCACATTGATGAAAATGACGTTTATTCAGTGGCCGATTGTGTGGGTGGGAAATCAGGGGATCGTTGACCCCCCTCCCCCTTTCGATTTCTGGGCCCTTCTTGAAATTAGAATTTTGACTAGCTGAATCATAGTTCTAGACCGTACCAAATGGCACCGTTTGCCCTCTAAAATACCAAAAGTTTTGGGGCCCTTCACCGCTGAGAAGTGTGTCAAACAAATTATAAAAAAAAATTATCATTACACTGCGCGGCGCTAAATGATGGAATGATGTACCATAGCATAACTTAAACAAATATCGGAACTAACGCAATGCACAGTGTCTACACCTTTGAGTTAATACACATTCTCCTTAGCTCAATTCAAATGAATTATTCTTATATAACACAGTGTCTCCTAATATATAAAATGAATCATAGGGACTCGCAAAAAATGTAAGTCAGATTCTGCGATCACCAAGCACATTTTTATGTACAGACACATCGTGCCAATAGTTATCGTTTTGTAATATTGCGTTTTGTTTTGTGATTTTATGTCACGTTCTTAAACATTTATTTCCATATGTACCTTTTTTCAACGGTACCTGCTGGTACATAAAATACAATTAATTTTGTATTCTATGTAAGATCATATAGTATCATACAGCTGCGTCATTCTCCACTGAATTATTTCTCTGAAGTAAATTCAATCAACCGAGACGACGTGAATGTGCTGTAGCAATCTGACAAGCTTAGGTAAGTTTTTCTTTTGCAAAGGTACTTCAAACCTTACCGTTTTAAGTGAAAAACAGTATGTTATGTGCAGGCAAGGGGTTGGAGGAACGGAAGTACCCGAGGTCGCACTGGGGATAGGTCAGTGTTGACATTGTGACCTCTTTTACATGAAAAGAATCAGTACATATCTTTTTTCGATTAAAACGTGCCCATCAAATTTGGTACAGGTGCCAAGCTAAATGTTACATAAACTAATTTTTGTACCAGTGCTCTAGCCATCAAATAGCATTGCAGATGCGATCGATGGAAGAAATCTGTAGGGTTTCTGTTATGCGAAACTAGACAGAAAATTTATCTTTGAAAAGTGCCGTTTCCATATTGTGCTTCACAAAGAATATTATTTATACATATTTATATAAACTGAGATAAGGCATGGATGGACACATACAATTCTTGAGTAAGGCCCTATTTTAGGTCAAAATTGTCTTTTCTCTTCAAATAGAATTACGGAGGTATCTTGAACCGAAATGTCCATTCATCTTGTGAAACCGTGTCAAGGAGTATATGGATGCTTGCTTAATGTATTAATTTGCTTTATATTTGTAGATTGTGATCCTAGGTTATTTGCAGTGGTGCGACATTTGAATATGAGACGAACATTAGGAAAAAACCCGCTCACACTTTTTGCAATCAGTATAATAATAATACTGCTGGTGGTTGTGAACTATACCTTGAAGCAAAGATACGCTGTATCAGTCAAGAAACAGCTGGTAGGCCTACTTTATTCATAATGCTGACAACATGAAGTTCAATATTGTTCTTTAACTATTTGAACGAGGTATCTTATAACAATATTTGATTAAAAAGCTTTTGTTTAAAAGTAAAAACACGCTTATTCATCTTGCTTAACAAAATATCAGTTACATTATTATTCAAACGGACGTAACAGGCCTTACAGACATACAATATAACATTATCATACAACTAGCTTATAAAGAAGAATAGAGCTGAGAAGAATTGTTTTGAGTATACAGGTATGTCTTTCGCTATATATGACCGTGGGGATATACGCCTAAATTATCCGGTTTTATTGATGTTTTTCGGTGGAACTTTGTTATGTATGAATGTATGTACAGGTACATGTAGTCTGCCCAGTACATGTACATCCCAGGCATGCTCAATGAGGGACATGACTGGTCTTAATAAGAAGAGTCTGGGTGTTACATCTTGACAGTATGTGGGACGGGCGTTGTCCTACTGGAGCTAGCATAGTGTTGGGGGCTGATGCATGAATGGCACAATCATCACGATTTCTGTCTGGAAATTACCACTTATGCCCACCCAAACCATAACCGTGTTTCAAAGGCAGTAACCAATGGCACGCCCCCTGTCCAGAGTCGACAGCCGTGCCATGATGTCAGCATGGAATCCAGACTCCTAAACTTGGTTTTCTGGTTACAGTGACCAATAGTATTGATTATGGACAAATGAATTATGTAAGACTTTTGAGTCATTTGTGTTCAGATAACAGGCCTACCCAACTACCCGACTCGGTACATAAGGATCCTGAATTAACCTGTAAATCGGACCACACGTTTTCAAGGTGTGTGTCAGGTCGCATTTCGGAGTATCATACCCCAGAACAAATTTTGTAGGACGACCGCGGGATCATCTGTCGGTGTTCTGACACCTTGAAAACGGGAAGTGTGGTCCGTTAATTCAGGATCCTAATGTGCCTAGTCTGGTAGTTGGGTAGGCCTGGATAAGATGTCTGAAAATGTCAGGCTAGCCTGGAATAACTCAAACGCATCAGTTTCTTAGCCTACTGAAGGAATGAGGCAGTGACAATACTAGCGTGCATATTAAGGCATTTGAAGCACTATGATGGAGACAAAAACTTGCTTTTCTTTCTTTCTTTTTCTAGTTTTATACAGTATAATTGTGGTTATTTTGTATTCGATTTCGTTCAGGTACCGCAAAACAGCCAAAGCAAACAGGTTCAATTAAACGAAGGTATGTCAATTTTACTTTTGTAACAAATTGTAATCCCAGTCTGATTCAATGAGCATAGATTCGTGTCATGTCCATAATATAAACAGGTACGTGACAGAACATTCTCATAATATAAAATCAACTTACCCTGCTGCCAGAAAAAAGTATTTGCTTATTTTAATGTTTTAAGAGAAAATGGTCATTAAAATATTAACTTAAAAGAAATGCAGACCTGACATTTAATATAGAATTAAGTTTAAGAGATAAGGCTAGGTATAAAACTACTTCATTTAAACATCTCTCCTATGAGATATTTGAATAGAGTGATGTGTACTCAGGTGAGTCAGTACCAATTGATTTCCTACCTTGTCTTTAGCTCTTTAAAAAGTCGTTTCTGAAAGTTATTTTCATAAATAATTTAAAAAACAGATTCCCTTAAAAAGTTTGCATAATGTTGCAAATTTGCTGATAATCCTTGTGTCCCCTTTTAAGAAAAGCCATGTAGGCTTTCTTGCCTAATTAAGTGTCCAAGATTTTTTTTCGCAAGATAAGTATTGACTCCACTTTCACCTATCTTGGTACTGAGGCTTTCAGTCCATTTTGCTTTCGACTACCAATAGTTTGTTTTTTACCATCCAGATCCTGAGATTGGAAATACACCTTTTACATTTTCGTTAAGGAAATTTCAGGATTCTTGATGATACAGGGAGAATACAGATGAGTATGGTCAGCTTATATGTTTAAGTCGAATTCCATGGAAGTATGTGATTTCACAAAGGGGAAGTGTATATAAGTACAAAAGTGGAGAGGACACTACACTTCCTCTGGGAACACCACCAAATCTCCTTAAAATTGTAAAGAAGGACTTGCAGTTTGCAACAGGCCTGATATTTTCTTAGAGTTTGCCTGTGATCCCTTTGTTCTCCTCAAGAAAATAAGAAACAGTTGATGGTTTACCGTGTAGAAGGCTGCTGACAGACCAAATAGGACAAGATCATTTTCGATTAGAATCAGTGCCGTTTCTGTGTTACGGCCATTCTCATGCTAATTGCATTTTCTACAGGAGATCAATACACTTGAGATAATCAAACTTTGAGAGATGATATGATCGACCACCTTGAAAGAAAATACAGATTAAACACTGGTCTATTATATTATGAGAGAGTGGAGTCAAAATTGACAGCATTATAGGGCAAATCGAAGAAAATTGAAGAAAAAATTAATATTAGTTGTTATGTCTGTATATAACTCTATGAATGTACAGTAAGTTACAAAATCCAGTAAGTATTTGCAGCATAGATATGATAAACATTAAGTAATTGTGTTACCGTTTCAGGACAGAGCAAGATGGGTTATATACGGGATGATACAGACAGCACCCATTCCTTCCCACTTTGTGGCCAAATTTGCAATTTTTCCTTGCATAAGAAAAAAGAAGACCTTTTCCTAAGAAAAGACTTCAACTGTAAGAATATATTTCTCAGAATAAAGAATCCGCCTGGGAAAGTTTTCAAACCGCCCCTGAGAGAGCCGCCACCAGAGCTGTATCTTGATTTCACACAGAACGGCAGTTTGAAGTTAACTCGTAGGTATATAGATGGCTCAAGAAAGGGTCGAAAGGGAACTTTCAC